GCACAAGAGGAAGATGACAACATCCAAACATTGAAATCACTTCTGGAGAAGCAATAATCAGAAGAATTTTTTGAGCGAAATGGTATACTCTACAAATACTTAAATGGTCGAGAATTAATTGTAACACCTAAAGCAATGCAAGCTGAACTAATTAAATTGAATCACGAAAATGGTCATTTCTCAGTAGGAAAAACAGAAGAAATTGTGAAACAGGAATTTTTTATCCCAAATTTATCCAACGTCGTTAAAAAAGTAATAGTTAATTGTGTTCCATGTATCTTAGCTAATAAGAAAACTGGCAAAAAGGAAGGGTTTAAGAATCCTATTTCTAAGGAAAGCATTCCTTTAAGTACGTACCATGTTGACTTCTTTGGTCCTTTACTCTCCACAAACAAAAGTTATCAACACATTTTCACCGTAGTAGACGCATTTACCAAATTTACTTGGCTATATCCCGTCAAAACTGTGTCTGCTGAAAGTGCTCTCGAAAAACTAAAACAACAGCAGAAAACCTTTGGTAATCCCATCAGAATCATCTCTGATACAGGTTCAGCGTTCACTTCAAAATTATTCAATGACTACTGTGAAGAAGAAAACATTCAACATCTACAAATAGCAACAGGTGTTCCTCGAGGAAACGGACAAGTTGAACGAATTCATCGAACTTTGATTCCAATTCTCACCAAACTATCATTAGACGACTCAACGAAATGGTACAAATACGTCGACAGATTACAGAGAATTCTATACTATAAGTCGAGAGAATTCTATACTATAATAATATATTTCTACTATAAGTCGCAGTACAAAATGGACATCATTCGAACTATTAGTGGGAATCAAAATGCGTAACAAGGAAGACATCCTAATCGAAGACTTACTTCTAGAAGAAATGGCAAAAGAATTACTAGAACAACGCGAATTTTTAAGAAACGATGCAAAAAAGAACATCGAAGCCCTGCAGTCTGAAAATAGAAAGACGTATAACAGAAGAAGAAAGAAAGCTTCGTTATACAAAGGTGATTTAGTTGCCATCCAAAGAACCCAATTTGGAGCTGGACTGAAACTAAGACCAAAGTTCTTAGGCCCTTACAAAGTAACAAAAGTTAATTCCAAGGATAGGTATGAAGTGGAAAAGGTTGGTCAGCACGATGGACCGAACTCAACCACCGCCTCAGCTGATTTGATGAAACATTTTTATGCTTAATTGAATTTTTTTTATTTGTTATTATTTTTAATTTTTCTCATATCCCTCTTGAGAAATTAATAGATGTTCTATGGTAACACTCGTTTCCATAAATCATTTTATATTCACTTGTAATATTTATTATATTTTCGTATTATTCATTATCTTTCTATTGATGCGAAGGATTTTTTTATGGTTTAGTTAATGGTAGATCACAACATAGAATATTTTGTTTTTATATGCTTTTTTTTAGGTCCGGAATTGTGAATAATAGGTATACATCTTTTCATCTGTAATATTTTATTATCTTTAAGAATCGTATTATTTGTCTTTATTGCGTCCACATTCCAATAATCATCAAATTTATAGTTGGAACTAAAAATAGTTTGTATTTAAAGTACTTTACCTCTCAACATTTTGTAAGAGCTGAGAGACCAGCTCTGTCAGGAGAGGGTGATTTTGTAGGATTTTCCCTTTGAAACATTTTGTTAAAAGGTTGAGTCATATCCTTTTCAGAGGACCATAAATCTCAATTTTATTTATTACTGTAATCCGAAGCAGCGCCATCTAGTGAGCGTTCGTAGCTCCGGTTTGAATAATTTTTCGGCAGAGGCCTACTAACCACTGCTTGTTCAACACGTCGCGTCTTTACCACATTTTCGCGCCCTGCGCGCACCACCAGTCCTAACATCCAAGAATGAGAAAGGTTTATTTCCCCGTCTTCTAAAGGTATAACTCAACTTTTAATTAACCTAATTTCTGCATGTCTTTCTCTTTGTAAATATCCCCTTTGTAAATATTTCCCTTTAACTTTAAATAAATTCTCTTTTACTTAAATGAAGTATTTGTGTTTAAATGACTTAGATTCATTTAATTCATCACTCATCCTTAAATACTTACCCCTAGACAAACCACCTCGCCAATTTAAAATCCCGCCTTCTGAAGAGTCCAGCTTTTTACTAAATGCATTTAAAAGTATATACGGTACTTATATGAAAAAATCCATTTTTAAAATTTTTGTCTGTCTGTCTGTCTGTCTTTCTGTCAGTCTGTTTGTTCCGGCTAATCTCTGAAACGGCTGAACCAATTTTGAAGAAACTTCCACTGGCAGATAGTTAGTGTTTTAAGAAATAACTCAGGTTACTTTTATTGTAGAAAAAAAATTAGGGTTTCGCGAAAATAAAATTAAAACCAATGAAATTGTGAAATCCATTTCTAACAGGGATTGCTTTTTTCAATACGGATTATTTTTATTAAATAGGGATTGTTTTATTTCGCGAGCCTTCTGTCTCAACGTTTCTAGTAGTTATATCGAACTTTTTTGTTTGATAAGGTTACTGAGACTTGCGATATTTCCCTTTCATGTCCAATCCTAATGATTTTAACAGTCTTCACTTACCCCTTGCTTGCGGCTTCGTTTCACCCTACCCAGCCCTCACCTCATCGACAGTGTCAAAGGTCACGAGCCCCCTCTGCTTGCAGATTCGTTTCACCCTACTGTTACTAAGACCTGTTTTGAACTGTTGCACCATTCCAATGATTTCATTCTCTCTCAAAAACACTGAGCAACGTCAATTTTTCTATAACTTAGACAGCATTCAAATTTAAATCAGGAAGTTTTTGGGTTTTACGTCATTTGACTTCTCACAAGGCTCCGCATTTAAATAGAGGTAAGTCAATTTCATACCTCTATTGTTTATTTCATTGCCAAACACTGCACAAAGCAGTAACTATAAATGGTTGTCTTGCAAGAGTGATTGTACAAGTTTGAGTGTGCGGTGGGGGTGGCGATCGCAGAGCCTTCTGTCTCAACGATTTCTAGCAGTTATAATAGCAGTTTGATTAGGTTGCTGCCACTTGCGACATTTTGCGTCCATGTCCGTTGATCCTAATGATTTTACAGTCCTCACCCCATCGACAGTTTCAATGGTCATGCGTCCCTCTCACACTTTGCTCAACAAAAAACAAAGAAAAAAAGTAAAACAAAAAAGAAACATTGATTCACAAAGTAGAAGAATGACATTATACTTGTAGCATAGGTATTTCTTTACGTGGAGTATATAATTATTAAGTTTTCGTAAACTCTGCGAATTGAAAAAACGCTTTTTTGTTAAATTCCACGTCGATGAAGTCGCGGGTAACAGCCATTTAACATAAAATAAATGCATCAGAAAGTAATATTAACGTATTACACATCCAGATACAAATTATTTACATTATTTTAATGCGTTTATTACACAAAATTTGTAACAATGTGTTAATTTTTCTGAGCAGAAGGAAGGTGTTTTTAAAAATCGATCCATAAGAGACAGAGAGAGATAGCTGATAAAAAAAACCCCTTTTTTTTTATCAGCTATTATATCTACAGACTTAAAATTTAGCAAACATGGTTTTTTGTTCAGCTGAGATAATGCGAAAAGTTGTTTTTTTGTTTAATTTACAATTCACGTCAATTTAACTCATTAAAAACTTCTTTATCCTTCAGTCTGTATTGCTTAAATTTTCAATTCACCCGTGCGAAGAACGGGTATACCAGCTGGTATATTTATATTAATTGTAATTATTTGATTAAAATTAACTAAAATAAAAATTTTCTTTGTTGACCTAAGTAGGAATTGACTTTAAAATTGTTTTTGTATCACACTTTTTTATAAAAAATATCTGAATATACTGAAGAGAAAAAAATTAGACTTTTTAAAAAAAGGGCACCATTAATACAGATTGATTGATTGAATATTAACGTCGCACTGTTCAGCTACACGAGGGCTTTTGGCGACGGACCACGTAATTTTGAACCATGGTCAAGTGACGTGGACGACACCTGAGCTGGCACCCCCCCTCTCCTAACTACCACACCACACCAACGGGAGGACGTTTCAGCTCTCGACAGATTTAACGTGCATCGCTGCCCTACACGGCGGGTCTTTAGTGGTACAGGGTTCAAACCCGTGACAAAGCAAGCCACGGTCCGATACCTAAACCACTCGGCTACCGCGGCCACTACCATTAATACAGAATGTATCCTGTTAATATTGTCGTTTCAATTTCCAGTTCACATACATCCTCCATTTATTAATTTGCTACTAAAAATGTAGCTGTTAAACTTTTAGTAAATTTTGAGTATGCTTTTCTTAAAGCTCCTCTTTTAATTGATTTCTATATGCTTTTTTTTCCAATTGTGTCATATATATTCAAATTTGTTATATTTATGTATTATGAGGATGTTTAAATGCATGTGTAAGTATTAGATTTAACTCATATTCGATATTTCATTCTTCTTCATTCATTATTTCCTTGAGCTATTTTGTTAAAATTTTTTGCTGAATGGGAAATGATAGAATCTTATAAATCACTTTCAATCCAAAAATAACAGTCCCAAGTTTGGAGCAGATTTAGGAAACATAACAGTTTTACCTTTTCTTCCATTAGCTTTTTTGAAGTTATACTGCTTTTGGGCGTTAGAGAAATAGGATGAGGGTAAATTTTTACGATGCGCGCGCACACCGTCACGGATGGGAAAATGCTTTGTCTAGAAATATATAGAAAAGGACAGATCATGAAAGCCATCGAAATTATCAGGAAAATATTTCTCTTCACTTCCCTGAAGAAAAGTCAACCGGGTTTGAACCGGAGACCTCTCGATCTGCATTCGAATGCTCTACCAATGAGCTATACACCCCGTGTCAGCGAGTCTTTGCTTTGCGTTCCGTAGGAACGGACGCGAAAATGCTTTGTATAGAAATATACAGAACGAAACAGATCATTCCCACCTTCGAAATCCTCAAAAAAATATTCCTCTTCACTTCCCTGAAGAAGAGGGCACCCTGGTTTGAATCGGGACTCCTCGATTAGCAGTCGAATGCTCTACCATTGAGCTATACACCCCGTGTCAGCGAGCCTTTGTGCTTTGCGCTGATTTGTGACATCACTACTAGTAGGGGAAGATCGTCCTTCGCCTACGGAGCTTCTCTGATGCATTAGTTTGAACACCTTTTGTTATTACACTAAACATACTTACAGGAAATTAAAAAAAATAGTAAGTTAATCTTTAAATTGTGTCTCATGTACATAAAACATATAAGAGTAAATATTAGTTTACCTATTTAAATAACAATTGCAAGTGTATGATTATAGATGTATTTACTACGAACGCATTGCAATGAATATAAACACATTGTAAGAAATTATAAGAGCCTTTTGTATTTGTATATTTATTTTTGAAGTTATACTTCTTTTTGGGCGTTAGGGAAAAAGGATGAGGGTAAATTTTTACGATGCGCGCGCATGCCTTCCCGACACCAATGCGTGTGCGCACACCGTTGTCTAATATTTTAACCATCCAAGCGGTTAGCACGGAAAATTCCGTTATTGTAAAGATACTTCAAAAATGCACTGCACGGTAACATTCAAGTAACATTTTCAAAAGCGGATTAGCCGTACTTTTCTGAAATCCTTTCCCCCTTTTAAAGGTTTAACATCTTGAAAGATACTTAGGGACAGTGGAAGCAACACAGCAGGACACTAATAGGAAGTTTTATGGCTCGCAGGGAACCCCACCCCGTGTATTGACCCTGGAGCAATCGTAAAAAATCGGGGGAAATTTCTTTACACCCCACGAAGTGTTTGTTTTTTAGCTGGTATTTTAAAAGTTTTAAAAAGTCCCAACGCATAAGTAAAATATGTTACAATTCCCTTTTGGTTTCATATTAATTTGAAACTGTAACAAATTGGGGCGTGTCAGGGCAATCTGCTATTTTATATAGTTAGACAAATTATCTTTTTTAAAGTATATTCTTTCGCTTCATTTTTCTTATCTTAATCAATGCTTTCAGTTTTTGAAACATGATTATTTCATTATAAGATGCCAAAAAAAAATTAATAAAACACCAAACATTTTAAAGTTTTAAACTTTTTCAACATTCCAACCACTAAAAATGAATAAATTTAAACTTCAAATAATTTGAAACATTTTCTTACACTTTGATAAAAATAATAACGAAAAAAACTAATTAAGATCTATTAGTTTTTTTTTTTTTTAGATTTCAAAGCCCAAGTGTTCAGGGAAGTTTACGTACAGTGCCTAGTTATATATTGTTAAAATACACCGAATTATATTTGAATTTTAAGTGCTTGAACTTCAGTTTACATCAAAGACAACATGAATGAAGATTTTCCCACATTTTTTTTATAACTTGAATGTTTGAATAAATGGTAATCAAAAATATACGGAAACATTTACAGTAGACAATTATGCATATAAATAAACATAAAAATCAATTTTAAATTCGAGCTATTCAAAAACATTCGAATTATTCTTTAAAAATATTTATTTATTCAAAATACCTCAACATTTATCTTTTTTTAAAGGCTAACTGAATAAGTAATTAAAATCTGGATATTTTTTGAAATCTCGACCGTATAAAGCTAGAAATTTTATGTTAGAAATTCCATTTGAAATTTCGAAAAAAAAAATATCGCGCAGTTAAAAAATTTTTACCATAAGTTCTAGCAACTCTTTCAGTATAATATAAATTTCAAATTTTATTATATAGCTTCTTTTGTATTTTTTAATATATTTCGAAGATTTCATACAATTCAGTTGAAAGCTGCATGCTAAGAGCAAAAAATATGCTAAAAAAATCGACGAATATACAATAAAGTTTTACATAGAAGCAAAACTGAGAAGCTAAAGCGTAGGAATGAAAAGTTTTGAGTATATCTGAAGTAGTTTTCGAAATATTTATTTTAAAGTTCAGAAAATTTGTGTGCGGTATGTTATACTTAATATTAATTAAATGGTTAAAATAATGTTTTAATAATAGTCATGTAATCGTTTGATGACACATTCATACACTAATAAAAATTATAATGGTCATTGATGCGAATGTCAAGAATTTTATGTAATTTTAAATTCAGATATTAAGATATTGATGTAGAAAATATAAAACGAACATCTAAAATACATGAAAAATGCAGTCTGCTATAAAATGATCTTGACAAACAAAATACGGCGTTTTCACTTACTATGGCAGAGCCGGCTTAGTCAGGGGCGATCTGGAAAAACAGAGAGGGAACCGCGGTTTTGATGGATGCCGCTCTAGCTTTTAAATCTCCCAGGAAAAAATATATATAAATTACAAATGCAAAAACTAAGTCTTGTAATTTTCCATACATTTTTATAACAACGAATTTTGGAATTGGCTCCCAATACTTTGTTGTGTTTGACAATATCTAAGGTAACCAACCATACTTTAGATAGATTTGCACTTCTTTTTCCTAACCGTATTCCTTTTAAAATTAATTCGTGCTGCCAAAATACACTTTTTGCACTCTTAAAAATTTATGTCAACTATAACAGTTAATTTTTAATTTATGCAACTTGTGAAATGTTCATAATTAACCATTTCCGTCTAAACAGTTTACATGAAAAAAAAAAGTTTGGACTCCCTCATTCATTAGGGATTTATATAAGATTCTAACATTAAGTTTTATTTTTCACTGAATAGGGTGGAGTGGTAGTGTATCGTGCTTCCACACCACAGGTCTTGGGTTAACGAGCTGGGCAAGGTCAACTCTGCCTTTCATCCCCGCTACATTGGGTCGATAAATGAGTACCAAGCTTGCTTGGGGTCTTAAACACTGAAGGTCTCTCTTCAAACAGACCACCAAATCGGGACATGTGTTCATGCACCTCAGCGCACAATGGTCTCGTATATTGGGATGGGCATAATAGTTCCTGGCCCTCATGGATTGTTGTGCCACTGAGTTTGAGTTTTAAGTTTGAGGATTGCCTCACTTTGGGGATACCCCTTAGATAAACATGTATTTCCACTCATTTGCAATTAAACATTTTTCTTTCAATTACGTTTATTTCAGAAGGAAGTTTGATTTTTCAAATGTATTTGCTTAATAACATGTATATTTGTGTATTATATTAAAATTTTGATCAATCCAAAATTACATGTTTTTTGCTCCTCTAAAAGCTTTTAGGATTTTAGAACTGATCTTACAATCCATATACGTTTTATAGTATATTTAAAAATGATAAAGAAATTTTTACGACTGTGTGAGCTTTTATGCCTCGTTTATAAATATAAAAAATTGCTTCCAGCTACAGTTTTTAAAATGTACTGAAATAAGTGGAGGAATAGGATATTTACATATTTTGAATATTTTTGACTGCAGTAAGATATATTTATATTTCAGTTTCTTTACAATTTGAATAGAAGTTGTAAGCCATTTTGCGAATAGTTTGATATTGAATATAAACCCATAGGCTGTTTAATATTGGAAAGTGTTTTATTTTGATACCAGCACACATCAAAATAAGGCTCATTTGCAGTTATATGATCAGCTTTAGTGATGTTTAAATTTTCAAAAATATAGTCTACACGTACGAAAACATTCTTTCAAAACCACACACCACATCTCATACTATGTCTTCCATACAGCAGGAAATATTTGTGTATACTCAAAAAATTTAATACAGGATACATTTCAAAATGTTAAAATTGTTTTTAAAATTTGGTATGGATACATTGTGGAACGGTCGGTTAACTTCTTTGAACAAAATTGTTTTAAGTGTACTGTTTTGAAAGACAAAATTAATTAGGGAGAACTTTTCTCACAATAGAATTTGTAATGACTGAATTGTGTGAAAATGTAGTTATCGATGTGTGACATTTTTCCTTGTAAAAAAAGAAACAGAAAGATAAGAAATTAAACTTGAGTAGAATATGGTTAGAATTACTGTCATGCGCATTTGAAGAAGTATATCCCCCATATAAATTAAGAATCATTGACTGAATGTGTGTTATGTCCATCACAAATGCCGATGTAGAAAAGAAATTTTTATTTAACACAAGAAGTTCGAAAAGGAGAACACTAGGAAAGAAAATTTAGATTTTTTCCGAAAAATATTCAGTTAACATAAAAATATCATTTATATGATTTTAATTAAAATAAATTAAAAGTATTGAAATCTTTTTTATGTTATTTTAAATTAAAAATATAATTGAATGGAGAAAGATAGGTTTTATTTCATAAATATAATCATCGTATGTATATCACCGTATGCACCATCGTATGCTTATTGTTTAAGAAAAGAAATAGGGCCTTTACTCTTTTTACCTCATTACTTTTTTAAAAAACAGGAAAGTGAGCACGTTTTCTTACTCTCATATTCAAAAATGAATACAGGATGCTTTTTTTTGGTTCAAATTGCAATACCAATATATATATATATATATATATATATATATATATATATATATATATATATAATTTTTATAAAAAAAATGACAGAAAAATAAATTTTGTTTGAAGAAAATATAATTATTTTTCATCTTCTAACACACTAATTATTTCCTTTTTTCCACCCTTCATTTTGTTTTAATTTTACACTGTGACTAAACATATAGGGGACACTGTGACTATACATATACTTTACAAAGGGACCGAACTGAGTCATAAAATTGTCCCCGTTCGACCTCCCAAGTTTTAAAAGGGGGGAAAGGAAAGAAGTCTGTTGCATTTTTAAAGCGAATGTCAAAATAAGAGCAAACGCTTTGGGAATAACTTTTCAGGAGGTAGCTAACCACTTAGAGGGTTTTAACACGCCACTTTTTTGGTGCTATAGGACTGATATTTGGGGGATCATAACTATTGTTTTAACCATATCTGTTGGGACGCATCCCCCCTGTGCATTCATCCCCTCTACAGCTTTTTGGCCAATATCTCGGCCCACGAGCCCGAGCACATTTGATCCCTCTCTATATCTGCTCTTCCGGTTATATCTTCCATAGTTTTTAATTGTCTTAAACTTTTTAAATTTGTTTAAATTCACAATATCTTGGCTCTTGCTCGAGTCTCGGACTTGAGATTTGA